TTTTAATAGTGTGTTAATACTAATAGGTATAAAAATAAAATAAAATTTTAATAATTATAGTTATCAATAGCTTACATGATAATCGCTTAATTAATTAAAATTTTTCCTTAGTAAATAATTAATTTTTTATTATAATTTCATACTTAATAGTATATTTGTTTATAAATAATTTTATTACAAAAATACGAAGAAATATCTCATATTTTTGCTTTCACACGGGTTAAAATCACCCATATATACTATAAAACCAGTCATTGCTTCATAAGGTTTCGCATTTAGTTTTTCATGTAAATGAATAATAATTTTGTAGAGTGTAATGTTTTTAAATCAAACTGAATAAATTATCACCTCAATAAATATCTATATATATATATTTATATTTTTCATTTTTTCATAATCTATATTTTGCAATGAATTTCAGTAAAATTAATATTTCCCAGTTATTATTTACAAAAAGAAATATATTTTTTTTTCTTTATAACATATATGACAACAGTTTTCATAGATATAATTGCGGCAAAATGGCAATTAACCAGACCTCCCCTATTTGTAGCATGAAAAAAGACATTTATCAAAGTTGACAAAATTTTAAACGGAATCTTATTATCTTAAGAATATAATGACATGTACATAGCGAGTGTGAAGCTGAAATCTACTTTGAGAAACCTAAGTATGCTTATCAAGATATTTTCTAGACGTTTACTATAATTCTCTGAAATTGCTTATAAATTTTGGGGATCTAGTTTAGCGGAAGGTATACGAATGTAAGTCAGACATCCAAAGAAAAGCAATTAAACTGACCACTTACAGCAACATTCCAAGTAACGAAAAGCATTGCTCGCCAATCTATTGGACGTTGTATTTTGCACTCGAGCGCAACGACTCAACATTACCCCCCTCCCACCAAGGCCGTTATCCTGCTCACGACGGTAGCCCGACGTTCTCGAATATTCATGTCACTGGGTCAGCCATCCAGGATTATTAGACGGCCGAGCGATATTAGCATGTACACTAAAGGATAACAGTCGCTCTTGTCGCTGTCGCCTTCATTGTCGTCATCGATCATCTTCTCCTTCTCTGCGTAAGCGCAATTTCTTTACATTTCTTTATAGACAGAGAATTGGCGCGAACGATTGTGTATGTGAATGCGAGTCTCGTAGACTCGTAAGCGAATTATCCTGAGAGTGATGAAGAGTGATTGGCATTTAAGTGCTTAGCGCTTTAAATTTAAATATATCGCTTGATCTACATTTTCTATACTGACGCTAAATCTGCGCTAAATGTCTCTTTTAATTATCGATACCTTCGCATACCATGCAATTTTTAATTCGTAGACGATGCTTTTCATAAGAGCCAATTATAAAATCAATATGTCGACGTTGTAACGATGTGTTTAAGTAATTTTAAAATACTTTATTATAGCTTATATTACCGCGAGTACCAATAATTTTACAGCCAAATTCATTATAGCGTACTTCAAAGGACATTATAAATTCGAATCCGATAAGATTCTATTAAATCAATAATTTACCATTTATTTTTTAATCACGTGCCACTTTCTAAAAGATGCTTAATGATTGTGAATCTTTAAAATAATTAAATGAATAATTAACCACTCAAGTTATGTCTCGAAGCAATTATATTACATTGTGTCTATGGGCATGTAAGTTTTACGATATAATCTAATAGTCGGTCGATTGTTATTGTTTTACATTAATATTTATCATGAATGAATTATTAAAGGAAAATAATTGTTGTTTTGGACGCGATTCACCTATTTTATGAATCAAAAGAAAAAAAAAAGTATTACAATTATTATTTGGTATTTTTATTATTATATGATCTATACAAAATAAAAGTTTAACGACAATAAATAATTATTTACTATATTCATTATGAATTTTTCAATTTAACTATTTATTTTAAATGCAAGTCAATTCTATTTTTAAACTGTAATATATATATTAATATTTTAATATCTAAATAGTATGTTTGAGTGCTCTGATGAAAATTAAAGTCGTAATATCATTACACCGATCAACATAAAATTCAGATATACAAATGTACTTTATTATATATATATATATATATATATATATATATATATATTCGTTTCTATCTAATAGATTATCCTAAACATCATCAACTTTAAACTAATTTTTCAGTTAATTTACAGATCAAATTTTTTAAACTGTATTTTTTAAATTATTTATTTACACGTACTTTTAAATTACAAACAAGTGAAAGTTTTAATAAATATTATATTTCACTCTTGCTAGGTCTGATTAAGTTACTATATCTATTAATATTTCATCTAAACAGTTTTATGAAGTGAATTATAGAAAATACTAGAAATAACAATAACTAATCTGTTATAATTTGTATAATTTGTTGAAATGAACGATTTTTCTTTTCACCTATCCAGCCATTCAAACAGTTAATTCTTCTTAATTAAGAATTGGAAAACATTAAATAACGAAAATATTAATATGCATTTTTACTTTGACAAAATAAAAATTTCATTGAGTATTTCTATTAACTTTCCATTTATATTAAAACTAATCTTCTAAATATATTATTAAATTTAATCATTAAATATCAATTACATTAATTTATTATGAAAATTAATTTAATTAGAATTTTTTTTCCCACAATATTCAATATTTATAAAGTTATATATACGTAGTTAAAAAACATATGCTGTTACTTTATATTCCATTACATGAAGTTTTAAAATTATAAAATCATTATATTGGTTATTTTAATACAATAATACATCATAAGTACAATTAGAAATATTTTGTAATTGAATTTCGTAAAACGATCTGTAATTTATTTTAAAATATCTCTATAATTATGGCTATCTGCATCATTTATATAAGGATGACTATTGAAACCATTATATTTAATTTTGATTTTAATGTGTTTTACTTAAGATATCATAAATTTAACATTTTGTAACTCTTTAATTTTGTACTCTTCGACATTTAATTGTAAAACGAAGAATGCACGATAAAATACATATTTTTAAACAACTAAAAAAATGTTATGTATATTTTTATTTTTATTGAGTACAAGTTGATTTTATTATGACTATTTCAACTTCTCCCCTTCGTTTATACATAATTAATTTTCTCTAATTGTTATAATGTTCGGAGAACTTATGCTCCATCTACGTAACAAGATAGTTAGAAGATTGATAGAAATTTTACTTAATATACTGTAATACATTGCACGAAATAAAAAAATCAAATTTATTAAAAATGGTCATGTCAATAAAGTACATTATATTGAAAATAGGATCAACTTTAAGATAAGAACAATGAAATGCTAGAGTATCATACTCTTTCTATTTAAAAAATTGCATAAGAAATCAAACGACAGTGGCACTGACCACAATTGAGTGGCGAAATCGACCTTGCAACAACAAAATATCTATCGTTGTAAGTTACATCAATGCAGGAAAATCCAAGAATGTGAAACAGGTTTTCTTGTGAATGAACGACGAAACATCGGATATATGTCCACTGTCTTTCCTCAGAATTTCCGAAAATCAATTACTTTCGGTATTAAAAGAATCTTATGATATTTCTAATTTTTGATAAATATCTAATATATATGTAAGCATTGTTATTATATATTAAATGATGATGTTGTTTTTTTTTTTTTTTTTTCGTTTCTTAATTTAAATTTATAAAAACGGAGACTAATTTAAATATCCTAATAAATAATTTTAAAAATGTAAATTAATGAATTTCATCTATACTGTAGAATAATTGTATATGTCATTTATAAAATTAGACTTTCATCAATATATGAATTATTCCATACGTTAATAAATTTGATTAACTATAATATTTTATTGCATATTATATTATACCGGCAGTTGATTTTTAATTAAACATTATAAAATATCATCGAATAGTTATAAAATATATGAAAGAAAATTGTTTCACAAATTTGCTTATAGGAAAAGATAGAAAGTCAAATTGTGATGAGCATAAAAGTAATTGGCAATTACCATGTTCGAATTTTTTACAGCGACATAATGAAATATTATTTAAAAGTATATTTTGTTGTTTTTAACAGATCAATCGTTAAAAATATTATAGTTCAAATGTGTTCTCTCTAATTATGTAGCCAAGTAAAAAAAAGCAAAAAAGAAAGTAGGTAATCGCATATTTTTAAATAAAAATATTTCAAAGTATTATTTCTTTTTATACAATGAATCACGTGGAATTTCATATATCAAATACTTTAATAAATTATTTATAAATACTGACGAATTGCAGAAGGAATTTCCAAATTTTCAAACGATATTCAATTTATGCCCATATCGTACTGCAAATACATGTTAATTTATATAATCTCTTAACTACTGTTGTAAGTTTTTTTGTCCTATTCTGATTTTGTCGGCCTACGGTTATTCATATATTTTATAAATGTCGTCTTTCTAAAGTTTTAAATTTCATATAAACGCTTAAATAAAATTAATTATCATTATAAATGTACGCCATTGTAATAGATTATGATTTCCATTGGAATGAATTATTATTATTATTAAGCTTTACAGCAAAATTAAAATGAATCAATTTTAAAAATATACTCTCCATTATATTAAATTTAAATAAATTCTGGCTATTTTGTGTAATATAGGTGCTAGTACAATAAGTTTAAGCTCGTTATGTTTTCAATTAAATATATTGATGAATTTGATAAGATATAGCTTACCACCATTAACCAAACGTCCCGCAAATACAAATTATAATAAAAAATTTCTCGGAAAAATGTCTTCGAGTACATAAGGGTACATTTTTAATAACATATGCGCCACGTAAAGCTAGAATTATAAACGATAAATGATTAATAATCCGAAAAATTATGTTCTGGCTCGCGAATTGCAAACTCAATGTTTTATAAGAATAAAGAAAAAAGAAAGAAAGAAATGTCAGAGATGTAGTGGGTAAATTGTGAAAGAATCCGTATTATTGGCGACTTACGAAAATAATCCGATTCCATTCATTCTTGTGAATTTGTTTATTTGTCCTTTGGGCCGCTAAATCGCCGCACTCTTGCTGCTCTGGCAAGGGCTTTGCCTCGAGTCTACGAAAAAGTCCTCGGGCAGTCCTCCTCCTCCGCCTCCTACCGCAGCGTCAATATCAAGCGACAGCGAGCCTAGTGCGTGACAATAAAAGCGAAATGAACGAGCACTTAATACTCGTCGCGCATCGCGAACAGCCACCCACTCGCTAAGGACTATGTACTACAAGCAACAACTGCCGCAGTCGCGCTACCGCCGCTTACTGAGCGGTGGCTCTTCTCTCTGTCGAACGGCTTGTCAGACGGAGTAACCCAGCCAGCCAGCCAGTAAGAGAAATAGAGAGAGAGAGAGAGAGAGAGAGAGAGAGAGAGAGAGAGAGAGAGTGAATGAGAGAGTGAGTGAGCGAGCGAGTGAAAGAAATTCCGCGAGTGCACAACCACTCGCCGCCGCTGATACCCGGGACGCCAAAAAAATTTCGGCGCTAGGCCTTGTTTGCTCCTCTGGGCGACGAAGCTCCTTCCTTCTTAGCCGAGAGCTCCCGATCCTCTCTTACTTCTCGCGTAAGTGGACAGCACCGAGGAGGGAGGACGAAAGGTGCGAGAAAAGAAAGGTCTTTTTTACCTCTCTCTCTCTCTCTCTCTCTCTCTCTCTCTCTCTCTCTATTTCTCTTACTGGCTGGCTGGCTGGGTTACTCCGTCTGACAAGCCGTTCGACAGAGAGACGCGCAAGAGCATGCACGCACGCGGGGATTCTGTCTGCCTCCGTCTACCTGTATTTTTCGTTTCTCGCTCTCGACGGGCGAAAGCGCGGTTCGGTCGTCACTCGCTCGAGGTAGAGACCCGAGTACATATGTACACAGATCGCTAGTGACCCGTGTGCGTATAACTGCCTTTCAAGTATGCGATATCTAGACGCGCGAACCGCGGAAGGAAGACCGGCTGCTTGTGTGCTCCAAGAGACCGCGTTACTCGTATTTACCGCGAGCGAGTAGGCGAGCGATCCCCATACGTCACCGCACACCTACTCTCGCCCATTCAAAGCCAGATCTTTGAGCCCCAAAGACTCTCTCTCTCTCTCTCTCTCTCTCTCTCTCTCTCTCTGCAATTTATCTCTCGCTCTCTATGCATATACCAATGTGTACTCACTTTTAACACCGCCGCCTGCCCACTTTTGCACACTTTTTCATAGTATTACTTTTGTAACCTCTTTTCTCTCTCTGTCTCTCTCTCTCTCTCTCTCTCTCTCTCTCCCTCTCTCTCTCTCTCTCCCCCTCTCTCTCTCTCTCTCTAGATTTTTCTTTTATTAATAATAAGACATGCTGACCCATATGAGTTTGTTAACTAAGGAAATCAATCCGAGAAACTTAGCAATAAATTACAAAAATGTCACATTTTGCGAAACGAAGTGTTCGTTCATCACTAACCTGACCACCTACATCCTTCGTAATTGCGTATTAGTTTAAAATAATATTAACATTATTCTTTAAAAAAATATAATGGAAGTAACACATATTGTAACCAATATGACGAATATTGTTTTAAAAATGCATAAAAGTTTTGCATTTTCTTACAATTATGAGTAAAGTCTATTGAAAATTAGATAGATTTGTAGTTCAATTTTTAACAGGAGAGAACTAAGAAAATGCGGTATAAAATATTAATTTTCATTATTAAAATAATTAGTACGTGCGATGCTTTTCACATAAATATAAGACGCAAGATATATACCTTCGTAAATCAAGTTTCCATAATATTCAATTATTGTAGCAGCAGTTAAAATAAATTTCTATATAATTCAAGATAAATTATTGAAAAACTATTGAATTGTAAAAAAAAAATTAGAAAATATATAAAATTGAAATATTATTAATTAAACATAACAAAATGTTTAAATAAATATTCTATAAAAAATACAACATTTGTAAGTTTAATTTCAATTATTAGTTTTGTTTCTTGCATTTCAATTATTATATTTAAAAAAATGCTAATATTAAAATTCGAAGTTCAATATTGTTTTTTCTTTTCTTTTCTTTTCTTTTTGTTTTTCTTTTTATTAAGTATCTCAGTGAATACATGTAAAATTGGTTGTAAAGTTGAGTGATAAATAAATACAACTTTTATCTTTAATTCTTGAAATTATTCATAAAAAATTACTTAATGTAAATCATAGGTCATAGTTAAAAAAATTAACAGATTTTCACTGAGAATTTTTATAATTACTTGACAATAAATACATAGCGATAAATCGTAAATAACATATATATATATATATATATATATATATGTATTATCCAATTTCTTATGAAAAATTAGAAAAAGATTTATGTAGAGATGCAAACAAATAAAAGTTAACCGTTAGCCATATATACTTTTTCTATAGTGTAATCGATTGATGTAACTTAAAATATAAAGTTTTTTTTATAACTACACTGGAATAACGATTAAAATAAAGACGTTATAGGTGATAGGGTAATGCTCATTGATAATCATATTCAAATCAGCATTGCACTATAATTATTTCGTTATATTTACCAAAATATAAAATAAAAACTTTTTTTGACAATATTGAGAAACTCAAGTTACTGAACATGAACATTAAAATAGTATTGATGAAGCGAGTTTTAATAGTTTTCAGAAATTGTTATAAAAAAATTTAAGCTACAAGTCAAAATTCGTACATTAAAATAAAAAAAATATTATAACAAAATAATATTATAATATACTGTTTTAATAATAATAATTTTAATAATTCTTTTTACATTAAAATATTTAATGAAATAAACTAGTAAAACAGAGTTTGTAAAAAGTATAGTTTAGCTTATGTATAAGAATATAAATATATGTACAACTTAAAGTTTGAAGTAAAGTTTGTATTCTATAATGGTTAAACAAACAATAATACCAATTTCATCTAATTATTAACTCGTTACATTATTATAAAAAAAATTTTCTCATTTTTTACCAGAAATATTACAAAAAATGAAAAAATGAAAATAAGATATAATGGATGGAAAATGAAGATAAGATAAAATATAAATAACTTCATCTGCGAATTCGAAAATAAATCAGTTTTACAAAACATAGGACACCAAACGATGAACTAACCGAACCGTTTTAACTAATAAATCAAGTGATAAGATAGTATAATACTTGATAAGTAATCGATTTATAGAGTAAAGTAAAATATAAATATAAGCCGTAGTTATGACAAATATGAAAGTAAAACAAATTAATAAAAACTCGTTAAGTTTCATAAATAAATATATAATTAAATCGATCTTAATAATGAATTATCTAATTCATCTGTATAAATGCATCAATAATTACAATTTTTTTTTTTTTTTTTTTTTTTTTTTTTTTTTTTTTTTTTTTTTTTTTTTTAAATATGATTTGAATCTATATAAAAAGTAGATACTAATTCAATTAAATTATTATGTATAACTTGTATATAATCGTGTACTTTCGTACATTACATAAATGTAATATTTTTTACTATCCTAATTAAAATTATTATGAAATAGTATTATTTTATAATCATTCGGTAATGCTTTAAAGGCCTTTACTTTAAGAAACTTACGATTTGACATTCCATACACATGAATTAATATTTATCGTTGCAATAAATATAAATCATTTTATTCGCTATCCACTTAGATTAGTAAAATATCCTCTTTGTAATTAAACATCTGTATTATCTGATCTTTTTTAATTTAAACATATATTCCCAATTATAAGTAATACAATTTTGCAATTGATAAAAACTGATTAATAAAAAAAAAAAAAAAAAAAAAAAAAAAAACAGTTTATTTTCATTAATTTATAATTTTAAAGTTAAAATATTTGCGACTGAGATTAAGTAATATCATAAATCGAACTTCATACGTTACATTTACATTGTAGTCCTACAGACATATAAAAATGTTAAATAAATAAAAATGAATTCAAGAATGTGTCCTCTATCCTGTCTATTCTGCTAGAATAACGAAAGTCAAGAATTAATGCATTTCATTACGATTATTGTCGTGATTCTGGATTATGATTCATAACATTAAAAATTTTTTGTTTTTATAAAACAACCCGAATAGAAATAAATTGTCTAATAAATAAACTATTTACAATCAATGATATCACATAGGTGAATAAATTACAGACAATTATTAAAATGTTGCCTGCAAAACTTTCAAAATCAAGTTGCGCGTTAAAAAGAAAGCAGATTACAACTTTCAACATTTCATCCTAAGACTGTTAAACTAAATAAAAAAAAAAACTTGTAGCATAACACGTCATGCCGTTATTTATCACTGTACGGCCTGCCAACGATTTTGCCGGCTGACCATCACTGTCCTTTTCTACTTGACAGGGTAGTTGTAAAGGCACGTGACTGCGAGGCGAGTCGTGTGTCTGAATGCCGTTCTATTTGCTCCTTTGCCTCTAGCACTCTGCTTCGATTTCACAAAGGAGGCTTCTTTTTCTCCCTCCATTAGCTATGGGAACACTTCATGTACAGCGCCAGGAAACATCATTATTATTATTTAGAAAATTCATTATAATTATCTTAAAAGAGATGATGAATCTATTATATTTTGGGTTTTAACATCGCGTCTCCTCTGAAGCTCAACTGCTTTTATTCTCTAAAAAGAAAAAAATGTACTTTTCGAGCAATGCCATTTTTATTAGAAGAAATTAAAAAAAAAAAAAAAAAAAAAAAATAAAAAAAAAACTGTTGATTAATTGTAATGTTTGTAACGAATTCTCAAAAATTAGTAAAAAATTGAATTATTAAGCTAAAATTATTTTCAAATGTTGAATATTAAATTAAAAATTTTATATCCTTCTGCATTACATATTGGAAAATTTAGAAAACTAAAAATTATTTTCATTTAAATCTAAAATGGAAATTTTCTCTTATTTGATGCATAAACTTATATAATAAATAACTAATACACAAGCTTTTAACATTTGTTAACCGCTCATTTCTCGGAAATATAGAAATAAAGGAAATAGTTTGAAAAATAAAAGTAACAGGATCTATTGATGGAAATCCCAAAGAATTCGATATTATTTATTTGAAAAATCTTATGTAAAATATTATTAATTCAGTCATAATTGGAAAAATATTAATGAAATAACGTGAATTTAATTTTAAATTAATGCCAACTTAATTATACGTAAAACAATATAATAACAATACAACGAGATGAAACTAAATTATCTAATATGTAAAAAGCATTAATAAAACGAATAAATAATTAACTCATTATGATTAAGAACATTACGTCTCATTTAGAAATGCTGAATATATTAAAAAAAAATTCTG